GGGTCTCTCCTGCATCTGCTTGTAGATGCCTTTATTTATATATGATGGGTCTTTTATTATAATGCTATTGAATCTTTGTGCCCGTCCGTGCATAGATTTTCAATATTCGCTAATTGGAGAGCATTCTCGGTATTCATTCGTGCTCTTTTATGCATGTAGGAGAAATCATTTTGTGTACCATGGTTTGATGTATCCGCCTGCAAATTTGATGCTTCGATCACTACTATTTCCATATACTTAGAAATACTTGGTGGAACATCTTCATGCACTCGTTTGTGGTTAGCTCGCATGTGAAGTTTGACTAATGTTGATTGTTACAAAGAAGTTACCCATTAAGAGTATCATGGTGTGGTGAGAAAACTTGATTAAGTTATCCATAATTCATCACTGTTTGTGAGCGAGTAGTGCTTGTTCATGTCTTGATGTTGATTGCCAAAGCGTTGTAAAGTAGTTATTTCAATTGCTAAATAAACTCCACACCTTGCAAGCTTTTTTATTACCTTTGGACGTGACTTGCAGTATGCATAATGAAACTAACAATATTGCTTACTGACATTGACATTTGCATTCAAATAGGTTTGAAGATCTCCAAAAAATTCTTGGGAACTCTATGTCATGGATTGATTGTAAGCATATTGCTGCATTTTTTATTCGAACTTTGCTTGTAAATAAACCGTCAATAGGTACTTGCATTCATTGTATGCTCCTTTACTGTTGTCCATAGAAGTGCATAAATTTTTTTTCATAGTCATTTGTAAGCAGGATGTTGTATACCCTACAAGTTCATGTTTAACCTTTCAATAGAATCCTCTGCTTATTACAAGTCTCCTTTGTTGATGTTTGACATTCCTTGGTGAATGATTTTATACATGACTAGGCTTGTAAGAGTTCTGCATTTAAAACATTTCACGATTGCTTGAGAATGACATGTTGTATGCATGCATGCGTGCATGGGAAATTGGTCGTCATTGTAATATGTTCATTGTTGTTGATTGTAGAGATTATTGAATTTCTCTCTCATGACTTATGTGAGCATTAGATGTCAATTGCCATCTTTTGTAGGCAGCTTGTAGTATGTTCACAATCAAATTATATATCCCTTGTAGTCATTTGCAAATGATCATATCAAGTACATTACAAATCTTCTAGCATCATGCCATTACTTATGAGTGAAGTAGAGAAATTCTAGTTGTCATGAGTCATTATTAAAGTCCTTAGTATTTGCTCGAATTCGAGTCCAAGTCTAAAGTTCCCTACTGTCCAAATAAGTCCCCTGTTATCCAAATTTTGTTCAAGTCCTTGTGGTCCAACTCAAGTATTTGCTTGAGTTTAAATGTTCAAGTTCCACTCCAAATTGTTCAATTCAAATTCAATATGCAAGTCCACATTTTGCAAATTCAAGTTCTTGTAGTCTTTGTTGAGTTTAAGTCCAAGTTATCTTTTTGAGTTTACTTAAGTCTCATTTGTTCAATCAAGTTCAAGTATGATCTCATGTTCACTCGAAATTTCGGCAACGTCCCGATGTCTCCCCTATTTAGAGGAAACTACGGGAAATTAGACCTTCCCACAACACTAAGAAAAGTGTGTATGGTACGTGTCCTCAGACACCGCGGATGTATTTTCTTCGTCCCCAGCACGCTAAGAAAAGCGTGTATGGGTCTTCTACAGGTACTTGCTTAAAAATATAATTATTTCCCCACAAGCGGGTATTTATGGGTATCCTCACTTCGACATACATATCGCACCTAATGTCGACTATACTAATAATAATTAACTAATTACTAATTAACAAAACTAATATAACAAAATGACAGTAGTTTTACCTACTGTGTTGAGTTGAGATCGTGAATGGGCTTCAAGATTTCGACCTTAAGGAACCTGATAGGAGGCCAGTAAGAGGAGCTCGAACACAAGGATTGGAAGGTTGCGGCTATGGCAGGAGGTGAAGTCAGCTACAACAGATAGAGGCAGGGGTCGAGGGCTCTAGTGCATCCGACTACACGCGCAGGTAAGAGTGAGGAGGAAGGACATGGGTTTGGCCTTAGGAATCTAAGGAGGCAACGAGATGTGTGACTCTTGGCTAGGTAAGAGAAGGTTCCCTCTCTCTCTCTCTCTCTCTCTCTCTCTCTCTCTCTCTCTCTCTCTCTCTCTCTCTGCTTGGGTGAGAAATCGGCACAGTGACTGGAAGATGAAATCGAACAGGGCTCCTAGGTCGGACAAGATTGAAGCAGATCGGAGCTAACTGGGTTCGTCCTGGAGGTCATCGGGTTAGAGAGGTCTTGGCATGAGGTTGGATAGGAGAGGAGATCGGAAGGATAAGCAATGGGATGTTGATATCTGGTTGTGAGTGGGAAGGCTTGAGGTAGGCTCAATTGAAGGTGACTATAGTAGGGAGTACGACAGGTTTCGAGAGGAAGAAACTACGGGAGGAGGAAGAAGGTCGGATGGATCGTAAGTAGGGGCAGCTCGCAACTCTGAGGTTTTGTGCATGGATTCGAGAGAGTGCGAATGCTTCGTCCTATTTGCTTTTAACAATGAAAATGGGACATCGTCATCTTGAGCAAGGATCGCAGAAGACATGACATTTCGACGTCGAATGAACAGAGCATGGGCACTGTAGATGTGGCGTGTTTGGCAGGTCGTTGGGGCATGTAAGTAATGATTCAAGCCTTTTTTTTATTATATCATTTCTTTTGGGTTGAGTTACAGAGGTCAACAGTAAGTTCCAAGTTAATCATTGGCTCCAAATTGCTCAAATAATAGATTTTTCGCAATCGTTATAGTTATGCATCATACCCGCTATAATAGAATATCCTCATAGTCATATTTATTCATAATTGTAGTCATGTTGTTGTTGTTGTATAAGAAGACTTGGATACAACATATGCTAATTCATACAATTATTGATTAGTAAGAGTATTATCCTAATTTCAACATCACAGAAATGTTACATTATCAAGATATTTTTTAGACTCTATGATCCATGTAGCCAACCCCACGTAGTGGGATAAAAACTTGATGTTGTTGTTGTTATTGTTGTATGACTCAAAGTAGAGCTTCAGCAAGTGGAGTATTTATTAAAAAGGGCTTTTAAGATTACAATGAATGTATGCTACCGACAAGGAAGAACTAAGCTTTCTGCCATAAGCTTACTCTTAGTTTTCTCTCTCTCTCTCTCTCTCTCTCTCTCTCTCTCTCTCTCTCTCTCTCTCTCTCTCTCTCTCAATGAGTAAATAACAAAATATGTCAAGAAAAATGTGGATCATCTAAATTGATAAGAATGAAGAACATTAGGAAATCTTTGCAGATGTTCTGTACTTCCACAATGGGCATGCTGAAAAGATTTTTACACAATCAGTAACGTAAGAATTGCTCACTCTGTAGATACAAAAGACACAATAAAACATTATTTGAACTTAAGCAACATACTCTGTAATGCTAATTTGGTAAATATGCCAATAAAAACACCATCATATAAACACATAGGGCAACAACAACAACAAGAAACCTTTTTCCCACTACATGGGGTCTACAACATGAATCCTTTTTCTCCATTTTGTTTTGTTGGGAGTCAAATTCTCATTCAAATCAAATAAACAAAGGTAATTTATAATACTTATGAAACAAGTCTACCTCTACATTTCTTAACATAGGCCAAATTTTCTACTCTCCTAACTGTGTAATTGGAAGGCCAACGTTTTATGTGACAAAATCATCAAGGCGACTCTCTCTAATCCTATCTGTCACTGGAGCTACTCCCACATTTTCACATATATACTCATTTCACATTGTCTCTAAGGTGAATGTCTTCATATTAAAAAAATGTATACATAGATACTTTTTGCCCTTTTTTTCTCATCAATATAGAGATTCATGAACTGAATGAAAATCTGAGTGGAAAATAATCATTATTGAAAATTGGCAATGGACAAACCTCTCCAGCTGAAATTCTAATAACATGTGGTGTAAATCCTTGTCCAGTATTGCCTGAATCAAAAAAGAATATATAACTCGAGTATGACATTTATCAGTCACATTAACAGGATGGGCTCAAAATTGTACGTCTAGTGTACTGTAATCTTAAATCTTGAATCATGCACATAATCTGACAATGAGAAAAAGCTATCATGATGTGTGTGTATATATATAAGCTAGAACATTTTTCATGAAAAACATCATTTTTTATTATAACAGAACATGTTTGATTCTGACCAATATACATTTAATTAAGCCAGAGTTGTGGCTAACAAAGTCTTCATGATTAACAGAGAAATAAACAAGTAGTCACAAAGAGTCTTTGTTAACAAAAAAATGCAAACATGAAAAGCAAGGTTCATCCTAGAAACCAAAGTATAAACCTCAGAAAAGACAAGGATGTGTATGTTACATAGGATATGAGACAGGCTAACAATTCAGCTACAAGTACTGTGACGATCAAGTTACTCCTTTGGATGGATTTGCTCATTCTGAACTATATTTCAAGATAATGCATGGCTGCATAAGGAATGTCAAAGGCGAAAAACTCGACAATTAGCAATTATATGACGTAAGGATTTTGCAAAGATTATGTAAGTCATGAAAAAGATCACTACAGGAAAGTTAGAACTTTGCGGCGGACTTTACGGCAAAATATTTTTTGTCGAAAATTGCGACACATTTGCGATGAAAATTTTTTACGAATGCTTTGCAGCGGATTTGAGATGGAATTTCCATCACAAATTTGCAGCGACTTTTTTCGCCACAAATCGGCTGCCAAAATTAATAAATAAATTTAAATTAATTCAATTAACTAATTAACTAACTTCTTAAATTAACTAACTAACTAATTTAATAACTAGTGTAAATTTAATTAAATTAACTAATTAAAATTTTAAATTAACTAATTTACTAATTAAACAATTTAAATTAACTAAATAACTAATTTATTAAGTTAAATTAACAAATTAATTAAATAAGAATTTCAAATTAACTAATTAACTAATTATATTACAATATCATGGTAAAATTTTAAGTTTAAATTAGTTAATTATATTAAATTTAAATTAAGTAATTAAATAAGTTAAATTAACCAAGTAATTAACTTAGTTAATTAAAAATATTACAAGCCAACGTAGTTGGTCTACCTCCTTCCCCTTTCTCTTCAACTTAGTCCCACATTGCCTATGCAAAGATGTGTTTTGCTTTTTATAAGCAAAGCAATATCTCAACCGATGAACAGGCGTGATTGTGGGTCATTTCGTGGGCTCGCTACTCATTACAGGCCGTGTCGCGGGCCTCCTGCCTTTGCACGCTGCACAGATTTCCACAAACTTGCTTCACGGGCATCTTGGTTAGGCACACTGCTCCGCGGGTTCAACGAACTGGACTTTGCTAACCTCATGACTTGGCATGCCATACGAGTTTCACGGACTGGACTGCAATTTCCTTGGTTATATATGATAAGTTTTTTTTTTCCTTTTTTTTTTAAGTTTCCAACGGAAACTTTTCCGCCGCAAATCCGTCATAAATCCGCCACAAAATATTTGCAACAGATTATGTCCATCACAAATAATTTTCCGACATGATATTTAGCGTAAGATTGTATTCCCCCACAAATTCACTACAAAGCTAGATTAGCGACATATTTGGGTTGTTTTGCAGAGGATTTTTCTGTCGGAAATGGCTTAAATTCCTGTAGTGGACTCATTTAAATTATTTAAATAATAGAACTATTAAGAAATAAGGTAAAGCAAAGAGAGAACTATCATTGAACTTTTAAGTGATACTATACCTTCTAATCCAGCTATGCCTGCAGTGATTTTAAACATGCACAAGATCATGCCTCCTACAGAAGAGTAATTATCCAATTATTTGTATAAAGATTTATGGAAGACTGGCCCTTCAGGAAAATTGCCCTGAAGTAGAAAATAACTAACTGTTTTCACTGACAATTTCAATCTTCTATGTTATTCCAACTCCAAATCTTAGTCGCTCGCATGTTGGATAGTACGAGAGTTACAAAAATTCAAGATCCATCCTCGACCCCTTCTGATACCCTGCATTGGAAAGACCCTAATGCCGTAGATGTGTCACTTTTAATCTTTTTCTATGTCACATTTGACATCATTCAACTCAACTTTCAAGTTTCTCGCCATTCAAAGGTTTGTGCTAACAGTCATCAGGCTTGCCTTCATCACCAGCAAGAAGAAGCCCTTTCCTGGTCACCTAGGCATAAATACGTATTTTTGAAAACCACGTTCATGCATGCATTTGAACTGCAATCCCTACATCCATGCATCATAGTACGATTCCATTTGGTCGATAGTCATCAACTGAAACAATCAAAAACATTCAATTCACATAGGCATCACATGAGCCAGCAAGCCAAAATCTGTCCAGCCACCTATCCTTCTTTGCACATGCACATACACTATACCATGCATACATAAATTAGTTTGTGAACCTCCACAAACAGACAAAAAGATGCATGATTGTACACAGCTGATAATAGCAAGCATGCACATGAGCAAAGAAAGGCAACCTTTAAAAGGTCATACTTTTGCTTTCAGCTGAGTGTTTGAAAGTGCTCTGACTTCAGGTTTGTGTGTCAACCACTGATTTTGAGAGACTTTACAAAGAGTTCTGAAGCAAGTACAGTCACCGGAAATATGAATATATGCATAAAACAACCACCAATAAACAGTATGAATTTCAAAGTCACTGCCAAGTACTCTATGTGAGACAACCCGGAATTTAATACATATTAAGAGCATCATCATCATTAACCTTGTCCCAACTAATTTGGATCAATTATATGAATCCCTATTTTTCATATATTCTTATTGAGTGTTTAGTGAGTGTTAAATTTATTCTACACAAATTATTGTGAACAATTTCCATCTATTTTACCCTAGGCCTACCCATTCTCTTTTTTAATCAGCTGACACTTACTTTATTTAACCTTTTAATGGTGAATTTCACCCTTCGTTGCATATTCAAATAACCTACGTTTATTTTCAATTAGCATACTTCAATAGATATCACTCCAACTGGTTATCAAAAGCAATCATTCCTTAATTTATCCTTCTTAATTTTTTCAAGTATTTCGTCACTCAACTTAGCTATTAATAATTTTTTTGCTACACAACATTCAGATCTATTTAACATCACCAACTTAATCATAATTTTATAAAATTAACTTTTAAATCTCGATGATATCAACTTATCACATAATACTTAGGTGCTTCTCCATTTTAATCACCAAGCCACCTTTAAAAATTAAATCTTGGTTTTATAGTTCGATAGATTTAAGATACTTAAACCTATCAAACTTTGGCAACAAGAAATTTACAATCAATGCATTTTCACCTTAAATAATTATATCAGAACACAATGAATAAAATAATATGAAAAAAATGCTACTTCACCAAGTATGGATAAGAAGCTCTCTAGACTAGCATTAACATAACACATTCAAAAAAACATAGAAAATGGCATCTAGCTTGAGAAATTCCCATTAATCCTAAATTAGTATTATTAATCTCAAACGCTCCAAATAAAGCAATGCCATTCACCATGAAATGAAACATTTGCTGCCACTTCTATAATATAGCCAATTGCGGTGAAACTAAAGAAGCATAAATTTGTAAAGTGCTAAACTTATTCTTCACAAAATATTATGAACAACTTCCATCTATTTTACCATAAGTATACCCATTTTCATTCCTATTCAGTAGACATTAACTTTATTTACCCATTTAATGGTGAAATTTCTACCTTTCATTTTCTGTCCAAACCGTTTAAGTCTATTTTTAGTTAGCATATCTCAGTAGATATCAACCTGCCTATCAGTAAAATCTAAAGCACTGTAGTTGTTATCCTAGAAATAAAAAAACTTAGCAATCCAAAAAAAGCACTACCATCATTATAAGAAAAAACCCTACATTCAATCTCCAACAAGATTTTCTTTACAAGTTTTTCCTATTTTTCAACAAGAGAAGATCTTCTACTTCATCAAAAAACCATCTTCAAATGAAGGAATAACATTTGCTTTTCCTTTGTTTTTGAATTCCATTACTTTGGGAGGGACCTATGCAAAAGAAATCTAGGATATTGGCATGTCATATTAGCAATTCTACGATTAATTTACCAGCCCTCCAAGTAGTGAACACCACATAAAAGGCAAGCCAATCTATATTAAAATACCCGCCCCATTTTAATTCCTAAGAGATTCAAGCAATGTAAAACAGTGAACCATAAGCCAATCTATATTAAACCCCTATTCACTTGGATGCCTTTCAAGCATTATTCAAATCATCATTTATTTTTATTTTAGCTTTTAATCTTTATATTTCATATTTTAATAGTACTGCACTTCATACTGTGTACTTGTAATCACACATCCCTTTACATCAATAAATAAACCCGACACCAAACCAAAATTTATAACTTCTATTTTGAAAAATATTAACAAAAATTTAGATGGGCTCAAAAAATTAGATTATTCCTTCGATTGATAAAGTATGGATGACTATCAAAGATATAACTTTTTTCAAAATTAAAATATATAGAAAATATCAAATTATTTTGCAATAACTTGCTAGAAAGATAACAAGACTAGTGAGAAAAACTCTAAAATGAGTTTAAATTAAGAAATTTTAAAATTTAAATATTAAAAAAGATAGCCCAAAAGCTATAATCATTAAATTATCTACTTACCTATTAGGAAATCTACTTTTACTTTTGATGGAAGGACATCAATCGAATTAGAGCTTAACACTAATGATAAAACTCATATGATTGTTGACAAATTCAATAATATAGATGAAATTTTTTATAATATTTTGTGAACTTGAAAATACATGTTTTTAATGGTGACTTATAACCCTCCGAATATACATATAAAATGTAAACCTCCATTCATATGTCTGATTCAACTACTGATTCTTCTATTTTAGATACTATCGTAATAAGCCTGAATACCAATTGAATTTAGTGCATGTTAATGAGCCTTTTGGTGTATATCTTCTTATTGAAAATTGCATAGTTGCTATGTTTTCAAAACCTTTGAGCAGGTTAATCATACCCTTCTCTAGTGAGCTCTCACTAATGAGCCTCCCATACACCAAGGTGCACATAATTACTGTTATCTCAAATAATCAGTCTAAAATTTAGGCTCAATTACCTAATAACATGTTTGATAAGTCTTCTCTTTTTAAAAAATATTAATGCACCACCAAGATGCATATGTATGTTATGGTTTCAAATTCTCAACTAGACTTCCCTGACCTCAAGAACATACTTGATAAGACTTAGCTCCTTGAGATGCCAAACTTTTTTTTCTTTTTCGAGAAATTTATGTACCGAGTATGATCTAAGATCACTAACCAATCTAACATAACACATAGGGGTCCAGTGATGAGACACCATCCCTATATGACATACACCATAGTTAAATCTTTCTCCTAAATCACTGTTACTAGACTTGACTCGCTTGTTTGAACATCTTAAGCAATATTATAAATTTTGATGGTTTATTCTTAAAGCCTCCAAATTTAATTAACATGACCCATTACTAATGGTATGATAGTACATTTTTAAAAGCACTTTATGTACACAATCTATACTCACATATACTACAAAGAGTTGACATAAGTAGTGATAAGATTGCTATAACTATTTTAAAATGTATCCACGTAGAAAATATAATAACTATAACACAATTCTCTACTTATGAATAAACCAAATACTATATGATGAGTAGGTGCTTTTAAGTTAATACTTATTTTCTGGTTTTGCTGCCTAACATGTTTTCCACTTTTGCTTTTACTACAAAAAATATCATAAAATATAAATGGTTTATCAAGAACTGGGATGGGTAAACTAATTCATTCGCAAGAGATATAGCTCCACTTCTGAAATTTTTCTCATTATAAGTAATCTAAGCAAATATATTGTACTTTTGGACGCACCTAAAGCTACAGATGCTTCACTATCTATATATACAAATACATGAAGTATTTACCCCTCTCACTAAACCACAACACTTTTAATTATGTCGATTAGTGTTCATCAAGTGAAAGAGAGTTGATGTAAGACAAGTAAGAAAACCTCTTACAAAATTAATTTCAAAGTACTATATTAATAGCAATTGATCGTATGTTGTTTCCATTTTTGTATATTATTTAATTTAAATAATAGGAGGCAAGTCATATGAGGTTTAAAGAGAATATTTTTAAAAAAAAATTAATTTGGAACCATACCAATCGACCCAATTAAAGATTCTAGATACAAAATAAAATAGTTAATTGAAAATTTTAAATTGGAGTAGCATTATTATTTTTTAAATAAGGGAAGATATTAAGGAGCTAACATTATAATTTATAGAGTAATTTTCAACAAGAGATTTTCGTATATTGCCTTGTGGTTTTCCTACTTTTTTATAGAACATCATGTACTATTATATGCACATTTATTCAATGAAAACTAGCATTGATTTTTTTACATAAACTTGTGTCTACAAAGATTTAGGCATGTCAGCATTTAGATTGATTTGAAAATCAACCACAATTAAAATTTATAAACCGTAATATATTATTTTCTCTTTTGTTTCTTCTTCTCCTATATACCCAACATCTTCCTAAAGACTTAAACCAACTTAAATCCTCATAAAAACTAAATCATACCCCTTCCACAGAATCCTAAGTCTAGTTGTCCGGCAGTTGTGACTAATTAACTTCTTAACCACATACCCAATTGACATAAAATCACCTCCATTAACTAGTTAATATCTCAAACTTTTTAGTTTTTTTTAAGGTTTCACATTTTTCCATCAAAGAATACCCAATAAAAACCCCAAAAGAAAGTCTAAGACAGAAACTTGTACCACACCCGTAAAGTAATCAACCTTTTCCATGGCTTTCTATCAACTCTTAAAATTTCACCACCACTCCACCAAGCCTTAAACTAAAAACCAATGCTAATTCACGAAGTATAGATAAGCAGCCATCTAGAGTAGACATGAGTACAAAACTTGTGTAAAAAATAGAAAAATCGCATTTTGCACAATAAAAATCCCATAAATCCACCATTAGCATTATTTATTTCAAAGGGTCCAAATAAAGCAACGCAATTCGGCTTGAAATCAATCATACGATGCCGCTTCTGTAATATAACCAATTGAGGGCAAACTTGACAGACGAAAATAGTCAAATTATATCGCTAGAAATATGTGAACAGCCTCATAATTCATTCTATTATAAAATATAAAAAAATGACAAGAAGCCGCCATGCATGCAACATTAACATCTCAGACTAAACGAAAGAGAAATCTGGAAAGTGTTAAATTCAAACCAAGAGCCGTTAGCTGAGCATTCCTAGCTGAAGAGTTGGATGAGGTGGCTTCCTTCTTCCTTGAAGAGGAACTAAGGGATGACCGTTGCGCCAACGCTGAAAGATCCCTGGCTGAAGCGGACATTGCAGTGGTGGGTAGGGAAGGGAGAGATGGCCGCGCACCGTACTTCCTCGGCCGTCCTCGCTTCCTCTTTGCTGACTCAGCAGCAATGGTTGCGGCAGCCGCTGGGCGGCGTACCGAGGTGGACCGTGCGGTTACGGCGCAGGGAATGGCAAACGAGTTTGCATCGACGGCGGCTGAGGAGAATGGAGTGGAGAAGATTTCTTTGCCAGCAGTGGCAAACGAGGCGGCACCGTCGATGACGTCAAGGTGATTGAAGTAGGAGCGGAGGTCACTATTGCCGCGCCCATCCATGCGAGTGAAGCGCGAGCGAACCAGAAGCATCCGCGAGACCAGCGGTGGAGGATATTTTTTCAGTATATATATATATTTTTTTAAACACTAGAAAATATTAAATAATATGAATTCTAAGTGAAACGATTAAAATATTTGGGCAATTTCTTTCAAAAGCACCCATTTTATCAATAATTAATCATTTGGAGAAATTATTTTATGTAGAGACCGAACGCAAAACGTCTTTCGGAGACCAACCAAAATGTGTCATGTCAGTGGTACCGAGCCGCGGTACGGAGCAATACCGAGGCGCGGTATCGAGCACAGAGGTGACGTAACGCATTCCGATTGCTCTACGCACTTAGTTCTGCGTCTGCACAGAATAATTAATCATATGTAAGAGTATTTAAGTACATGATACCTAATAGCTTTATATTTTACATTAAGTATCAATAAATTAAGAAATTTTGAGATTATTTCTAATTAGACCTTCAGAGATAAAAACTTTTTGTATCTTTTGCTACTTCCATTATTATTAAGATCATAAAAATTAATTCTTAACTAGAGAAATTATAATTGCTTTTTAGGAACCTTCAAAATGTTGTCGACCTCTATTCAGATAAAAAAATGATGAAATAAAAAATGCATACCTGTCTCTGCCGCAAATCCCCGAAATCCCGCT